ACTCAATCCTCAAAAAACAGGATTGAGTAGACGCGGGGGAAATTGCATGAAGATGCGGGGCAAAATGCGGCCGCGTAGCAGCTTGTGTGAAATTGACACGTATCATCGGGCCAAGCGGAGCAGCGCTTGTGGGAAATCACCCTAAGATTCAAATCCAGTTGCCCCTTAGAGACCAACAAGATTTTTCAGGAGAGCAAAGTTTTGCGTCCAGCGGCACCTTTAAGACCAATACATTCAGTTCTGGGTATAAGCTTTCATGGGCACGCACTCTTCTTCATACCATAAGCTTTCAGGCTTATAAGCATTTGGGAGTCAAAACTCCAGGGCTATTTTGGGGCAGGAACGCACAGGAACGGAGTTCCGGCTGGCTCCTGAGTTGGCCACGCCCAGCAGGAACTCATTAGCATAATAGGCCACACCCAACAGCAGAAACTCATTAGGATTGGCTACATTAGAGGTGTGTGGCCTAAAATGCAAAGGAGTTTGTGCTACAAAAAAAGCCCTGGGTTTTGACAACAAACAAGGTCAACAGAATAAGAAGCAAAAGGTGGCCGTGGCTGGATTACCACACTCCTGGTAACACACGGCTGTGGCCTAATATGCTAATGAGTGGTGCTGTCAGGGGTGTGGCCCAATATGCTAATGGGTTTTTGCTATTGGGTGTGGCCTATTATGCTAATTAGTTCCTGCTGGGCTTTTTCTACAAAAAGAGCCCTGCAAAACTCCCTTTGTCGGATGAAGGATCCACTTGAGTGTTGCTCAGGAGTAACTGGATTAATTCTCTAAACATCTTCTGGATGTCTCAAAATTTTATTTGCGTTCTGGGTTGGTTCAGGGACAGATCAAGATGGGTAGCCACGTTCGTCTGTCTGTAGCAGTAAAAAAAGTCCGGTAGAACCTTCAAGACTAATAAAATCTGTGACAGGGGAGGAGCTTTCGTGAGTCCTCACTTATTCACATACAGCTAGAACGTGAGTTCCTCTGTCCTTATATCATATGGTTGATGGACCCCAGTGTGGGGCTGTCAAGTAAAGTGAGAAGCAGAGGTCATTTGCCATCACCTTCCTCTGCAGAGCCTTCCTTGGTGGTCCCCTTGCCACGTAACAACCCAGCTTAGCTTCCAATTTATGGTGACCCCAGCAAAGGGGCTTTCAGGTCGAGGGAGAAGCAGAGGTGGTTGGCCATGGCCTTCCTCTGCAGCATCGTCCTTGGTGGTCGCCCATCCAATAACGACCCTGCTTAGCTTCCAACTTATGGTGACCCCAGCAAGGGGCTTTCAAGGCAAGGGAGAAGCAGAGGTGGTTGGCCAGTGCCTTCCTCTGCAGCGTCGTCCTTGGTGGTCCCCGTTCCAACTACCAACCCTCTCAGCTTCCAACGTATGGTGACCCCCAGCAAGGGGCTTTCAAGGCAAGGGAGAAGCAGAGGTGGTTGGCCAGTGCCTTCCTCTGCAGCGTCGTCCTTGGTGGTCCCCCATCCAACTACCAACCCTCTCAGCTTCCAACTTATGGCGACCCCAACAAGGGGCTTTCAAGGCAAGGGAGAAGCAGAGGTGGTTGATCATGGCCTTCCTCTAGAGAGGCTTCCTTGGTGGTCTCCCTTCCAAACTTTCAAGACTGGACAAAATTGGGCTGTTCCATGCTGCCTTTCTTCCCTTACTCGTTGCTAAATTCCTGTCTATCATATTTCACTTTGGAAACTAATATCTTACTCTTCTGGTCGTTGCTCGAGATCTATTATTCTGAGGGGCTCAGAGAAGGAAAAAGAAGGAAATCCAGTGCTTAGACCCTGCGTTTCAAAAGTTTTGCTGAATGTTTGTTATGCTATGCTATTTAAAAAACACGCACACACAAATACACAACAGCACTAACTTTTCTTCTGTTTTCACCAGGCGCTGATCACAATGACCCCGGACCAGAGGCAAGATGTCATCAGGACGGCCTCGTTGGTGTCATCCGATAGTGAAGAGAGGACGAAGCCCTACACCCTGGAAGAATTTTCCTATGATTATTTTAGGTAAAGCCGTCACAACAGAGCGGAAGAGGCTGAGATCTGTCTCTGTTCTCTCTCCACTTATGCTCTCCACTAGGGGTGTGCATTCAGTTTGTCTGAACTGAATGCACCCCCAAAAATGGCCCATTCAGGCCCCTTTCGGGCTGCTGCGGGCCGATTCAGATTCTCTGATCTGAATCAGCTTGCCACCGAATTCGGCCCCGTTGTATCCTATGGGCCATTGAAGTCAATGGCGAAAACATAGGGTATATTCTGGGGGCTGGAGGGGAGGGGTTTGAGGGAGAGGCTCCAAAATCGCAGAGTAGCTGCTGGGGCCTCTCCCCAAGACACCCGCCAGGTTTTAAGAACATTGAACCAGGGGGTCCAGTTCTACGGGCCCACAAACAGGTTGCACCCCATCCCCTCAATTGTTCTCCATGGTGGGGGAAAAGTAACGTGGTGGTTTGTTTTGCACACCCCTACTCTCCACTTATGAGGCAATCTCTGCTATTCCTTCTGGCCCGTTGCACCTTTGCCGGGGGAGACGGAGAGGACAGAGGCCCGACGGCCGTCTGACAGCAATGCTGATTCTGTGAACTTAGGCAAATCACGAGAAGGGAGGGCAGGGAGGGTTGCATCAGTGCTTAGTACTCATGGCCCTTTCTTACACGCCCAGGGAAATGCCAATCGCCCCTTTGGGGTCAGGAGGGAATTTTTCTCCAGGCCAGTTTGGACGGGGATCCTGGAGGTTTTTATTGTCATCTTCTGGGCATGGAACAGTGGTC